CAGGGCGCAGAGGCGTTCTGCAGAGGGTAGAGCACGAAGGGCGCATTATCATTGTCGTCCAGCACCAGCACGCGCACCAGCGCCTGGCTGCTGAGTGCAGGGGAGCCTTGGTCTATGGCAGCCACGAGGAACTCGAAGCTCTGCATGACCTCATAGTCCAGCGCCCTGAGTGCGAACAGCTGCCCATTGTCTGCGTTAATGGAGATGAGTGAGGCGAGGTCCAGCTGCGGGTCCTGTGGCGGCAGCAGCGAGTAGGTGATGTGGGCGTTGGAGCCTGAGTCTGAGTCTGTGGCTCTGATGGAGCCTATGAGCAGGGCGGGGCTGTTGTTCTCGCGGACAGACAGGGTGTAGGAGGATTGGGTGAAGGCGGGGGCGTTGTCGTTGATGTCGGACACCTGTACTGTTATAGTGTGCTGGGTTGTGAGCCTGGGTGTGCCCATGTCGGAGACAGTGATGGTGATGTTGTAGTCAGCTCTGCTCTCTCTGTCCAGTGCTCCTTCTGTCATTAGGATGTAAAAATTGTCTACAGAGGGTCTTAGAAGGAAAGGCAAATTTTCTTGAATGTAACAAACTGTCTTTCCATTTTCCCCAGAGTCTCTGTCATTAATCCTAAAAACTGCCAACACGGTTTCAGGAGAGTTCTCAACAACTTCGTTGACAAGTGACGACATGATCAGTTCAGGGGCGTTATCATTGATGTCTAAAACCTGAACTAAAACTGTGCATCTAGCTGAAAGGCCTCCACCATCAACTGCCTGTATATTTAACTTATAGGACTTAACCAACTCATAATCAAGCAAGGCTCTGAGCATGATTTCTCCAGAGAAAGGATTGATTTGAAAGGTGGCTCGTATATCTTCGGAAGCATCAAAGAACGAGTAGGACACTTCTGCATTGACTCCGGAGTCTACATCTTCTGCAGAGACTTGAATGACAACAAGTCCTACTGGGCTGTTTTCTGGAGTCTGGCTTTGATAACGTTCCTGGGAAAAGTGTGGGGCATTATCATTGATGTCCATGACCACAACATGTATAATGGCTGTCCCAGACCTGGGTGGAGACCCGCCATCAAACGCTGTGAGTGTTAAACTGAACTCCTGCTGCTCCTCCCAATCCAGAGCTTTGTCTACCACAAGCTCTGGATAAACCATCCCTTCATCGCTGTCACGAATGGTTATATGAAAAAAAGAGTTGGGGCTGATGGTGTAGTTTCGGATTCCATTCTGTCCCACATCTGTGTCTTGTGCTCTTTGTAATCGAAATGCTGCCCCAACAGCTGTGTTTTCTGGTATTTTTAAAATCATGGCTTTGTCCTGGAATGCAGGTGAGTGATCATTTATATCCACTATCCTCAGCTCAGCCCGGTAAATCTGAAAGGGATTATCCATCAAAATTTGGAAAAACAGCATGCAGGGCTCTGTGGAGCCACACAGCTTCTCCCGGTCCAGTTTCTCGTTTGTGAGCAAATCTCCGGTGTGAGAATCCAGGAGCAAGTGCTGTTTGTTATCATCAGAAACCACCCTCGTTCTCTTTGCAGCCAGAGCTTCCACGCCCAGCCCCAGATCCTTTGCCAGATTCGCCACGAATGATCCCCTTTCCATTTCCTCAGTCACTGAATAACGTCCAAACTCAGAATCTGCCAAACACAGTCCCCCAAACAGAAAGAGAAATAACACTTGCCTTTGTCTGGGGAAGCGTGACCCTCTGGGTGCCATTGTTTCTTCTCTCCTTACAACAGGTCTCAGCCACAGCTCCAGGCAGTCATAAACCTCAGCTGTATCGTCTAGCTGGAACGATCTTGGATATATTTTCCTTTCTCTGTCGTGAGGAGCCCCAGCTTGTCTTCTAGCGGTCAGGAGTTTCCTCTTCTGTGTGTGCCTGTGACTTCTAGTGAAGCCTTAGTTTAATTTTCCTTGCATCCTTTTAGCCTGCAGCGCCACCATGTGGCTATCAACAGATTTAAAACAGCGGTACCCAGTTTCTGCGTCCACACACACATCCTCATTAAACATTTCCTGTAGCTCCTTATTTTGGCCTTTTGTTTTTCCTTTTGTTTGTTTTGTGAAAATAACGCCGAGATAGACATCCATCCGTGTCGGTTCTTCATAGCTTCCTGGTAAAGTCAGAATTCTAGCGGCTGAATAGACGTTTGTAGCAGTAACTTTTTTTCACTGTTATCTCTAACTCCATGTTAGTTCTTTCATCTCTGGAACGGACTCACGCAAATAAAGGGAAAATTGTGAGCATGTCTTCTAATAATGTAGTTCACAGTTCTGGAAACAGGGGCACAGGAACACAAGAAGCAGGCAAAAGAAACCGGTTCCACGCATTCCTCAGAAAATGTATTCAAACTCTACCACACTCCCTAAACAGAAGCACCGCCATGCAGTCAGGACTAGGCAGCCGTAGTGCCCCTCCTCCATACCCCAGTGTGTACAACTGCGGCTTGCGCACATGCCTATGTTTATTATGTGAAAGCATTGCTTTCGGCTTTATAACCGTCTTCCTCTTCTTCAGCGTGTGACCTGTTTTGGCCATGTTAGGTGTCCTATCTTTGGTTGGCGAATTATTCCCTCACAATGCACAAATGAATTATACGGAGGACAAAAAGGAGCCTATGTCTGTCAACCCCTATCATCTGAAGTATCATATTATTTCACTTATTTACATTTAGACATTTCTGTTGCTTTCCTTTATTTCTTTTTATTTTCTTATAATACCCTTCATCTATAGAGTTTTTTTAAAATTACCTTTGACTAAATGCCCCTCATAATGAAATCATGTGATTTAATTACAGGGCACTGAATAAAACAAGACCAAAACTGTGACAAACAAACACAGTCCTAATATTGTTGAAAGCACGGATATATTGATAAAACATCTTCCTCATTTTTTTTATATCCAAAGGCCTAGAGTGTTTTAGTTTTCCCACTATAAGCAAATGATATAGATTATACCTTGGGATGTGTACACAAAAAAGTTTAGAGTAAGCCCCAAACCCCAGCTCTGTTGCATAGAAAAAAAAAACACTATTTATTTGATGATATACATACTCTGTTTACTCAAAAAAGTAGGGCCAGATTGTCAACCATTGAAAACTCATCATATATAGTTAAGGTTTCCATGCAGAATTAAAACAAATTATTAATTCTATTTGATGCCTTAGAATGTCAAAATTTGCCTTCATTCCCACAAATTTAGGCACATCTATAGAGACTCAATATCTTACAATACTGTTCTCACTTTCAGATTGACTAGATACTTGTATTATGTATGACAGAAATAGACTTTAAATCAGGATATATAAGGAAAGCAAAATAGAACTGTAAAATACTAGATTAGCCCAAGACAACTATTGTATATAATGAAAATCAAGGATATCTAATCAGCAAGACTGTCAGTATAGAAAAGAAATACAGAAATACCAATATTACACATGCACATAACGTAATATTTCAATAGTTCAAGCAGTCTAGGAACAGAACATTGACATGAAATGTGTAGAGCTAATGAGGTAAACAAAAAGTGGTAGAAAAGTTTTAATGATCACTTTAACTGTATAGATAAATCCTTTTCATTTACTGGGATCCTATGAAGAAATTCTATGCCACAGATAAGAGTAAAACCAAACGTGTGGCATTAGCAGGAATCTGAAAAATGATGGGTAAAGTGACAATTAAAATTGTTGCTAGTGACAGGCATACAGACTTTAGCTAGCTAATCCAACAAGACAATTTTTGGAACTAAATATTTGTTAGGTAACTTTCTATTAATGATCAAATCCAAAATTATTCTTGAGTGTGGAATTTTCCTCCATTTCTGTCCCAGAGCTCTGGTGCAAGGAGCTAGGGAGAACTGGCTTTAGGAAGTTAAAATCGCTGGTCCCAGAAGAATCCCCCATCAGACATACCTCATACTGGTAGCTCTGGGACAGGGTCCCCATACCTCTGACGTCCACCAGGTGGCCAGGAAAGTGTCCCTCAGGCACAGAGCAGACTCCCAGTGAGGCCTCCCTGGCCCTCCTGCACAGCTTCACCCCCACGAACAGCAGCACAGACAAGAGGAAGAGTGAAGACACA